CAGTGAGAGGCGATGTCGGCTCTCCCCGACGGGCACACACTTCCAGGAGTGTGCCGAGATTTTAACCGCGCAAATTAAACTGTTCAGGCGAAGCTGGCTTCCCTGTCAGCAGGGTTTTGCCGCGTGGCTGCCGGCGGCGGCGGAGCCTGGCTCTGGAGCTGTCACATAGATCCTCACTGGCCTTCTCAAGCTTGGCGCTGGTTCACGGTTCCACAAATCTAGTTACTGAGGAAATATGGGAATTAATAAGAAACGGAATGACCTTTGGAGTGCTGTCATTTCTGTACCTGCCTTCCTGTGATGTCTGCTGTGCCGCCTTTCTAATAATAACTTATTAGATACTTTGTGTCTGAGTTAATTGCTCTGAAATCACAAACATTTTGTAACTTCTCCATGGTTACATCATCCCTGTGTTTTTTACTGTTTCCTTACTCATCTCAATCTTACCAACAGACGACCTGCAAGTATTGCATGCAGGTGAAATTTTATAGAAAAGTACTCGACATATGGGGTATGCCTGTATATAGGTACTTCATGAAACTTGAGTAACTCAGACCCACTTCAAGCCACAAAAATGAATAGATTTTGTTTTTTCGAATGATTACAGGGCACAGAAAGAGTTGACTGCTCCCTAAGAGACAGGGAGCCAGGGGTAATCCCCAGGCCAGGCCCTACAAGCCAGGGGTGGTCCTAGCCCCCTCAGCCATGAGCAGAGCAGGCCAGGGGATGGGGAGAGCTGGTGGCAACCCAAAGTACACATCACCAACTTGTTTGTGATCAACAGGCAGGTCTGAAGTCAATCCATGGGTCAGGGTCTGGGTCAACAGAGCCCATAAGCAAGCACTCGTACTCCACTGCCTGGGCACACACTGACAGCCCTGGCAGAGGGCAGAGTCCCCAGGCAGAGGCTGTGGGTGGGAGTACAAGGTGAGGCCAGTCAGGACCATGATGGCCTATGAGTCCTCTTGAGGTCCTGACAGGTGAAATTACTATAGTCTACCCTGTAATTGTCCAAATCAATAGGGAGAGTTGTTAGCCTTACCAAGACACCCTGCTTAGTGTGGGGACAATCTGAGACACAGGACAAGACCATGGGGGAGGCAGGTATAAGTCAGTACTTCCCACAGGGCCTTTGGCTAGTGGGGCAGGGCAGATGGATTCCTGCCAGGTCGGTTTTGGTTGAAGGAGAGTTGGACTCATCACCTCCTGGGCTGCGCTAGTGACAGCCACTTCTGTCCCTGTGTTCCTAGTTCCCACTCCAGGCCTCCACACTGTTAGTAACTCGCTAGGGACAGCATCCGGTTTTGATATTGCTTCCTTCTCTCGTGTCATCTCAGAACCTTAAAAATTTCCTAACACCATTTTCTCGGGAGAGAGCTGCCCACATCCTGGGCCAAAGATGCCTGCACTCTTGCCCTCTCACCCTCCCCATGCACCTCTGAGTAAGCATTTAGTTGGAGAATAAAGAGCTGAGAAAAATAATCTTCCTCACCAGCTCCCACTTCCTCCTTTTCCCTGAATTCATCTCATGCGCAGATGAAGAAGCTGGTTTGCTGCAGGAAAAAACTGCCACTCTGGGTTTCTCCCTAGACAGCTAGGAAGAAGTGTAACATGAGCTTCCCTGCTTGGCTTAGTTTCCAAGTGTGCTGAGAAACACCTTCTCTGCATCTCTTTCTCAGCTCCTGCAGCCCCGCATGTTGGTGACAGACCCCTGAAATCCTACAGTCTGTTCTTGCAGGGAAACTTCATGTCAGCCTAGTGAATCCCCAGCAGTCCATCACCAATGCACTTCAAGTATAACACTATGGCTCAACAAGGGCCTCGGCAACCTTCCTTACTTCTTTGGGTATCATCTGTGACCTTTCTGATTTTGCCTACACAAACCCAAGAATTAGTCATGTTCCACCAAAAAAAAAAAAAGAGCAAAAAAAAAAGTTGCATTTTTCATAAGCTGTGTGAGTTTTGACTGATGAAAATTTGAATTCTTTCCAGCTCATACTGAGTGCATAGAAAAATGGGCAGCAGGCACTGTCTGTGCATCTGCCAGGTTCTGTTTGCTTTTTTTTCTTTATCAAGGCACTGTGTCCTTGGATATTTGTTTGGTTTGGATATTTATCTGCTCTATAAAAATAAATATATTCTCTATAAATCACTATATAAACTAAATATAATAATCTTTCAAATAACTTGTTCTCAGGAGGAATTATACAACAGTTCAAATGGTTTGCAATATTGAAAACATCTTTTAATTGTAGAATTCTATACAAACTTGGGTAGATACAGAAGTTGTCACGACAAAATGTGTTCTTATTGCCTGAAATTTTTCACAGAAATTGAAACATTGATGGCAAGCTTACTGACATCCAACATGATGAGATATCTTTAAACTTGCAAAACGAATAGACACAACACTCCTAAGTAGTTTGTATGTGTTTGACTGGTCTTGAAATCCTATTACTTATATACCAACCTCAAAATACAAAGAACCAAGATTAAAATTTTTAATACACATCACATAATGTAAAACTAAGCACAAAAAAAGGTAAAGAAAGTGTAATCCTGAAAATACACTACTTTTTTACCTAGGGCGCTGACTTACTCCAAGAATGACTTTCTGTATAGTTGTGTTTTAAGTGAGGCACACATTTTGTTTTCTGCACAGGACATAGATATCTGATGGAGATACAGGAACGAATGGTAACGAACAAAAGGGAAATAAACGTAACCACAAGTGGAACTCAAACTCTATGCCAGTGTTCTTGCAGCCCTAAGCAAAGCTATACATTAAAATATGCTACAACCATTGTTCTCAGAAAGTCCTTGGCGCTTTTCCTCTGATAATCTTACTTTCAGTTGTTTTTTTTTGAATGGAGGAAATTACATTTCTGCTCCTCTCTCATAAGGCAAAACTATAAATGCAACTACAAGGACAAGTTACCAAAAATCTTCCAAGCCAAAGATAACCCCCACCCTCACACCATCATCCCCAAACTCCAAATCCTTGGTGAAATAATATCATGCTTCCTCCTCATCACTGTCCTTCATAGTAATGCCCTGAAGTCCTCCCGCATCCGTGACTGAGACTGTGGCCTCCTCTACGGTCAGACGGCTGTGGACGGTGTCGTAGGTTTTACTGTTCAGCGTTCCCTCCAGCACACCTTGCAACCTGAAGTCTCGGTAGGTTTTCTGCAGCAAAAATAAAACATCCTAAATTGGACTTGAGCAAGCCTGACCACAACACACTGGCCATTTCTAGTGCACCAGTGAAACAGCTTTGCCTGTCCTGCAGTTATGGAGCTATCACCTCGAGTCTGCTAAAGATTTTGTGGTCTTAGTTTCTGGGACGCATGAGATTTCTATAAACTCTGGAGTCTACAAACCACACTTTGACGGTCATTTCTTTAAGAGACTGTGATTTGTACTACATTTCTACGACTGTATGTTGATTTCTCTGTAACTTCCATTTGTCTCATTTACTCAATAAGAAACCAACAAAGGATTTTTCTAACTGCATATTGAAATGTGAATTTGGCAACAGGTAGTTCCGTCATTTTACAGAAAATGTACATGTCTGATGCTTTCTTCATAATATTATTTTATGTGCTTCTATCTTTAAATTGATAAATAAAACAAAATAAAATTTAGATTATGATCTATATTCTAGAATGTAAACATTTCTCAGGTGACTACTTCAGTCAGTTAATTTACATTCTAACTCACCTACATTTTGACTCACATCAACATTTTTTTTTTCCACTTGAGAAAGTTTTGTTTCCCTGGTACCCTGCCTTCCTATGAACCAGTAAATATGACTTTCTTCTTTGACTTTCCATCAAGTAAGAATTCTGAGTGGAATTGTTTTATTCATTGATGCTATGTTAAGGTGAGCATATGGAAAATAATCTACTCTACCTTCTTTATTTTTCAATTGTAACACATTTGAAATAATCTTTCCTGAAGTTAGCCTAAAAAGCTTAAGAAGGACAAGTTGATCTAGCTAGTTGCTTATTTTGTGTACACTGAGTTCCCAGTGTTTAAGGAAGAGACTATAGGAAAAAGAAAATGGGAGAGCAAGCAGGCCCATTCCTCTGCTGCAGGAGACCATGCATAACCCTTAGAGAAAGGGGTTCTTGTTTCACTCGGTACTTCAGAGAACTGTAAAAGACACTTCTAAAAATGGATAACATTCATCTGGGAGAATTTTTTCTGCCACAAGCTATGATGATTATTTAAACCTTGTCTGAATCACTGCAACTGAGATTTATTTGACTTTCATAGGTCAACTTCAGAGTCAATGGATGCAGCTTATGTTTTGCTCACACACTCCTGTGAGTACCCCGCCTGGTCTTTTTCAAGTGTCACCACTGCATTCCTTTTTTATAACACTGTGCATTCAATTTCATTTTATGCTATTAACAGGTCCTGCAGCAATTTCTTTCAGTTTTACATTGTGTGCTTCCCATTCTCAGACCAGCACTCTGGGGTTCAGTCACTGCTCTTCTCTTGACATACTTTTGCAGGATAATAATGTTCACTTCCAAGCTTAATTTTTCATTTCTCCCCAACTTTCCTCCTGGTCCTTGACCCTTCTCTACTCCCATCCCTCTGTACATGTCTCAGACATCTAAGGATACCTTTATGTCATCATCCCTCAGCCTTGGCTTTAATGGTAACAAGCAATGTTTTCTTCTTCTGGTCATTCTTAATAATGCCACTACCTTTGCTGCATCCAAATATGAAAGAATCATCTATTTCTTACTCCTCCCATGTCACTTAAAAATGACCTCCCACTTACATTTTGAAATATTTCCAAGAGGTGATACGGGCAACACAGCCTCTCAGTTCTTCCAGAATAAATGGAGAAGACCCTTCACTCACTCCAGAGTTTGGAGGAACTGTGCTTGCCCACTTGCCCCTCCCCAGTTGGGCTGTGGCAGTGAAAGCTTCTTATGATACCCTGCTTGAACCATCGTTTCTTACTTCCCAGCAGCCTCCTGTTGGATGAATTCCTGTTTTTCAGTTCTGCCATCTTCACCCACCAAAACACAAGTGGATAAGATTTTCTATCTTCTACCACATTGACCAGTACCTCTATGATTGACATCATCTTCTTCAATCTTCTGTAGGCACAGAAGGTGCCATGCAATAACACAGCTGGAATTTAGATGCAAAGCAAACCAGGTGTAAGGGCACAGAAAAGCTCTCGCCATCACCAGTCTGTTCCCATCGCCACCAGGAGATGACTTATTTTGAACAAGGCTGATCAGTGTGCCAGGCTGCAGGAGGAAGGCTGGTTGACAGTGCTGCTCATGCATCTGAACTTCAATTTTATAAGAGCCTCTTCTGTTAATCTCCTGGTTGGCATTTAACAGATATAATTTAGTCTGCCTATTCTTAGATCCCACTGGCCACAGTTTTTTGATTCTATATCACTTTTTTTTCCTCCAGAGGATGATCACATTCACTTGAGGAGAGCTTTAAACCTTTCACAAGAGCTATTCATTTCAACCACAAATAGCAAACTGCTTCTACCATTTTGGCACATAATACAATGAAGAACCAAATCCTGGTTCCCAGATAAATCAGTTGAGGTCAAAAATAGCAAAGCTAAGTTTGGGTGTTTCAGGGATCCAGGATGTCATTATTAAGACTGTTTTCTTGCATGCCTCTTTTTTTTCCATTTAACTACTGAATCCTCAGATTTGTGGTTACAGTTCTAGTGTCTATGAGTTAAAATGCATCTGACTTTACAGTCTTGCATGAACTTCGTGAGAAAACATTTGGAAGAAATCAAGGTCACCGTTGACAACAGGTGCTTCTTATTCTACATTTATACAGATAACAAGAATGTTCTGAGTTAAACAAGACAGAATTAAAATGAATAAAACCTGAAATGGCTTTCTGTCTCTTGCCTAAGGGTATTAACTGAGATCTGAAAGGGAGGTAGGGGAAAAATTTTCTTTTATGATAGGTTAACACATAATTGGTTATTGCAAGGTATTTTACACTTTGCTTAGAAGCATTTGCCATTGGTCAGTGTAAATGACTGAGACCTGGACTGAAGGGATTGGTTTCTATTGCTACTTGTCCAGGAGTATAAAAGATTAGAAAATGTTATCTAATGTATTGAATATTGTTTTCCAATTGAACCTAGTAATCACACGAGCTTAAGAAAGAGAAAATAGTTCCCTTTTAGGAGAGTGGGGAAAAATGGAGAAAGAATGCTATTGTGATTTTTAAAGTAAAACAAAAAAAATCAGTAAAATGACAGACAATAATTTATTAGTAATACTGTACAATATTGCTGTACAGATAGCAGTAATCTGTTAAAATTTCTTGGGACAATTAAAACTGTCACTGAGTCCAGAATGGATGACAATTACTAGTGTGCATATAATTAACATTAGAGATTTTAGTAAATAATTTTTCTTCTCAAATTTGCAACTACTCTAGGAAAAAAAAAACCCAACTCAAAACTACGTAAGCTTGTAACTTTATTCAAAATTTTTTAGGTTTTAGGGATTTATCCATGTTAATACTTCATTTTACTTCATTCTACTTTCTCTCTTTATTATGCAGTCTAACTCAAACACGTTTTATTTACCTTCACTATCTTGATGAGCGTCTTCAGCTGGTAGATGTGAAGCTGAAGGTCTAATCTATCAGTCAACCACATGCATATGACTTTCATGGAATTGCTATACCATTGCTGAAAAGAAGGATAAAAAAAAACCCAAACAAAACATAAACTACCAAACAATCCTGCAGTATTCATTTAACACATTTGGTAATGAGAGGTAATGGAACACTTTGAAATGATCACAGATCAGCACTTGAAGTCAGCAATGATATAATTTCCTGTTAAGAGAATTGCGTGGGTCAGTAGGAAATCAAATAACTTGACCTAGACTGTTCTTTACATGAATTAGCAACTGCCATTTTATCTTTCAGTTACAACATTTGCAAGCAAAATAGCATCATGCAATTTTCTATCTGTCAGTAAGAATGGATATTAAATACACAATTACATGAGAGAACTGACAGCTAAAAAAACAGGGACAAGACAGGGAAAAAACAGTGGCAGGGTATCTTAAGAGAGATTTTGCAATACCTAGGTTTACCAATCCAAAGAGGAAAACAGCATCAAACATAGAATATGGAATCTGTTTTGCTTGTTTCTTTTAAATCACTTCTTTATGAAGTAAAAAAAAATTACAAATCCATGTAAACTGTATTTAAGTATGATCAAAACAGTACTTAATCCCTCCCAAAATAAACAAATTAAGATTTTATTTTATGCTAATTACTAATTATAATTACAGCCTACCTTATTTCCTTTTTTTGTCTTAGGCATTAGCAAGTTTTCACTCAAAGCTGCAGAAATGGATGGGGTAAGAATAAGCTCTCTGCTGTTGGTGTCTATGTTACCGTAAAAAAATGCTCACATCCAAATAGCTACTATAATAGTTCTTTCACATTAACTGGATTAAAAGAGATTTTTCTAAACATAGTTGTAGCAGTTTTCCTCCCCCTCCTGTAAAATACTATCCAGATGTCATTTAGTCAAACTGTAAAAAGGAAGGGATTTTTTTTTTCCTTTTCGCAGTGAGAGATTGAAAGAGTTTGTGTTGTAGCTCTGTTTCTAGTTTCTTTTTTCAGGGAAGAGGCTTAAATTCTTTTCTAATGTAATTTCCTGTGTCTTTACACAGATATGCAAAGAGAGGAAAGTTATGTATATTTGAAAATGCAGCATGTTATGTTACACATCCCAGAGTAATTCAAAGGAAGGATCTAATAATATATCTCGTGACTCATCTCTACATTAAAAAATAAAAGCAAATATCTATCAAAAATGAAGACAAATTACCGGGTACTGAATATAACAAAAGTCAAAACCTGAATTTTTTAATAAAAATGTAAGGTTCCTGGCAAAAGCTTTAAATAAATACAGTAATTATAGGTAAATAATTTTTCTGTACAGGAAACGGTCTCATCTCATTGTAACTATCAGTTTTAAGATAAGTGTGAAATAAGAAATAGGATTTTCATACAATAATGACTTCCATTTATTTTGTTTAAAGTGTTAAAATGTATTTTAATTATAAATCATTGGGAATAAAATACTTTTACATTTTTTTAGAGTTTCTCCTATTGATTTACTATTTTATAGAAGTGAACAAACACACTACACAAAATGCAAATAGCTGCACATTTCATAGAAGTAGTTTGACTTACTCAATAAAATGTGGGACTAATTTGGTATCCATAAAATACTGGGTTTTTATCACTCCATGATATTCTTATATCATTTGCATTATTTCACCCCAAACATGCATGCTGGTATTGATTTGCTTTGTAAGTACCTGTAAAATATTTTTCATGTGACAGAGTTGTTACAAAGTGGCAGCTGTAAACTACGTGGCATGTGTTGTAAGTATATAAATGTCTAGAAAATAAAATACAGTTGAGTTTATTCACTTGGGGAACTCCATCGATCTAATAAACATAAAAATTCATATGCCAAGCATTCTACCCAGAATATCTGTTGTTCTTTGCAATAAGATGAGCCCAATTACTGTATTATCACAACTAGAGCTGTTAATCTTTAACATAATAATGGTAAAGAGAATTATTTTAGTTTTCTCAGAACTTATATTCTTCCATTAAAAACAGACAGTAAGACATCCACGATGTATTTGGTATTTGAAATCAGAAGAGGCTCAGACTGGCTCACACGAACAAATTACAGACAGGACCAAAAATTCTGTGATCGGTTTCCCCATGGAACACCACTGAACAGTGCCAGATCACTGAGAATACCCAGTTTTAAGGCAAAACGTGTATTTTAAAGCCCAGGCAGATAACTTAAGATGGAGGCAGTAAAAATTAGACTCTCCATACATATCTGTGACATGCTTACAGGCACTGAAAACAAAGCTAAGAAATTAAAGGGAATTAATTTTACTACTCAAATTTGTGAATGAAAACAATAGAATATGTTTCCTGACTAGTTTTAATACATTAAACTTTCAGCAGAAATGTTTGATTTGCTGATTATGAAATGATACTACGGTACTTGCTTTTCTGTCAACATACATTGCTCAGAAAAAATACGACTGCTATTATGTTAGAAAAAGATGTGTTCTCACTTTGAATTATCTTAATATTTTTAATAACAATCACATCCAGTATATTTTTAGGGTCCTCCCAGAGGTACCTGTGGGCAGCATTCTTGTTCACTATTGGCCTTATAGCCACTAGATTTGAGCACTTAGTATAGGCTGGAGCTGCATAAACATAAATCTGCTGGACTTCCTAAGAAGTAAAGTAAACATTTCCCTATCACTTCTTTTGAAGCCTGTTAAAATGCACAGCACTGCAAATGCCTCTCAGAGGTGGAATCCAAGGTCACACATTTTGACAACCACGAGCACGTTATAGAGTTAGGGATGCATCTACTGTGACTTATGGGAATCTACTGCAAACTCACAAGCTTCAGCGACTAGAAAATGGTCCTGAGCTCACACAGTTTTAAAGTAATAGTAATAATAAAATCCTGCTAACTGGTTTTAACAAAAAGTCGCTTTCCCACTACTAACAATAGCACTGAAAGGACAATGCAACTCTTGCAGATGTCAATGATGTGGTATTAGTGCCATATTCTTTGCTATCATCTATTCAAGAATAAAGCAGTAAGTGTTTATTATATATTTTTTTCACATCAGCACATAACAGCAGCCAACCACTTTAACAAAAATATGTTTGCCTCCCTGCTTCCCCCCCTCTTCTTATTCATAGCTGATCCAGCTCCTGTAAGGGCATGCATTACTTGCTTCATTTTCCTGAGATACCTCTTTTAAAGTAAAAAATAAGAGAAAAGGAAAGGCTAGGGTTGACTCTGCGAGACCCCTGTATTTATTCACACTTATTGTGCATGACTGTAGACTGGTAAATCATATTAGCAGCCCATCTCCCCATCAAGCTGCTACTTGCTTTCCAGCCCTGGGAAGGTTCAACAAATCAACAGGAGCACGGAAAACAGAACATCAGTCTAATCTAGTGTTTAAGGTGAAGTTTTCAAACCCAATCTAAGAAGATCTTTAGAGCAAGCAACAAGCTGAAGGGCTCAGAAGGTG